TAAAAATGAGAATCTGAAATGAACAGATACTTCTAAGATGAAGTATAAATGGCTAATAAATACATTCAAAAATGTTCAACATCACTGGCCATCCAAGAAATACAAATTAAAACTGATAGGTCTCCCACTACCTCAGCAGCTGTTATGTACAGTAGCTGCCCTCTTCCTGTTGTGCCTTGCCCCCTCCCCTGTGTGCCATCATGCCAAGACGGTTGCTCCCACCAAAGAATAAACCCTTCTCCCCAGCATGCCCCTGTTCCCGCCTAGAAAGTAACCTAATACTTGCTCACCTCCTACCACCTCTAGTGACATCACCAGCTCCTCCATTCCCTAGTCACTACCTCACTCAACCCCACTTCAGCCACTACAAACCCCACCCCAGTCTCTATAAAAGACACTCCCTGCCCCGGCCATATTGCTTTTTTCTCTCCTTTGTTCAGAGACAGCCCAGCAGATCTATTGCCCTAATAAAGGCTTGTTGTGGCCTGGTCTGGTCTCGGTTTTCGGCCCTTTTACCCAACAAAAATAACACTAAGATTCCATCTCTCTCCAGAAAGAATGGCCATCATGAAGAAATCAAACAGTAACAAATGCTGGAAAGACCACAGGAAAAAAGGAATTGTTGGTGGGAGTGTAATTTGGTATAACCAGTATGGAAATCATCATGGAGATTCCACAAAAAACTAAAAATAGAAATTCCATTTGATCAGCTATTTGCTTTCTAGTTATTTTCCCAAGAGTTCAACACATCATATTACAGTAAAAAATGCATATCCATGTTTATAGCAGAACAATTCATAATAGCTAAATTCATTTGTTATATATCCATCAACAAATGAATGGATAAAGAAAATGTAGTATGGGGCCGGGGATTTAGCTCAGTGGTCCCACCACCTGCCTCGCAAGCACAAGGTTACTGAGTTCGATCCCTGGTACCAAAAAAAAAAGAAAATGTAATATTTGTACACAATGGAGTTCTACTCTGCCATAAAGAAAGGCATACTTAAGCCATTTGTAGAAAAATGGGTACACCTTGAGAATGCAATGTTAAGTGAAACAGATCAGACAAGCTTAAATATCACATGGTTTCTCTTACATGAGAAAAACAAAGAGAGAAAAACTATTGTAATCCAGTATGGCCAATGTATCTAAAAGTGAACCTTGATTTGGTATAATTGTCATATATGTTTTATATGTTTTTTGGCCTGTCAGTTTGGATGCTAATCTGTGTTTCTGATAATTAACTTGATAAAGACATAAATAAATCTGATCCTGGCAAAAAAAAAAAAAAAGAAAAAGAAAAAACTTCAAAAAATGGGGGTGGAGAGGAAAGGAGAAAAAAAAGAATTGAATTATGTACTATGTACATGTACCAATTCCTCACAATGAATGTATGTACTGTAAACCTGTACTAATAAAAATTAAAATTTTAAATGTTTTTTATGAAAAAGCATGGACCAAAGCCAGATCACACAGGTTCAAATCCCAGCACTGCCACTTAACCCTGCTGACCCTGGGAAAGTCACAGAAACCTCTTTGTGAGTCTGTGTTCTCATCTTCACCATTGTGGTGAAGGTTAAAGGTTTATAATGGGTTAAGTCCTCACAACACTGATTAGTACATAGCAGATGCTCCAGGTTATCATCATAGGTCAGCAGTGTTACCATCCTAGAGCTTAAATATCTTCCCTAGGGCCACAGGAACAGCAGCTGAGAAGGAAGATGAGAACCCATGGCTGTGGGTGTCACAGCCAGCACTATGGCACTCGAGCCATCCAGCCCCATTCCCTCCTTGATGCAAGGCCCTGTGGCTAATAGGCAGGAGGTCTGGTCCCGCCCTTCATTGTGCTATAAGATTCCTATTTGCAACCCATGGAGTCTCTGCTGCTACATTTATACAATAAGGATTAGACCAACTCCCCCATCTCACAGATGCAAGAAGTACTTCAAGGATCAAGTGCAAGCACTGGGATTGGTTTAGAAGGGTTCACCTGCAAGCACCTGGAAAATTCAAATCCAGGAGCAGTACCTTGCCCACCAGTCCTCTGATTGGGTTCTGACTTAACAGGATTGTGTGAGAAGGGAATACCTAGTGCCCCAAGACTGTCTGAGTAAATTACACAAGGGTATAACCTGCTGAGACAAACTAGGAGAAAGAGTTCCCCTCCAGAGACAGGGAAATCCAGAAACAGTCCTTGCCTGGTCAGAACATAAGGGACTGGAACCCTCCAAAGTGAGCTCTTTCTGTGGTGTCCTTTGAAGTTCAGAGCACCTTTTCACCAACAAGGAAACCAAGGCTCCAGAGGAGGTTGTGTATGTACCTAAGGTCACACACAGCTAGTGAGCGACAGGGCTTGGATTTCAAGCTGGGTCACCTTCCTATCCCGTGAATGACCACACCCCTACCCCCACCCCCCCACACACCAGGGCTAACTGGGTGGATTTAAATGCAGCTTCCCCAGACTCCCCTGGGCTGAGTCACCCTGCAGCATTGTTCAGGAGGGTGTGGGAGGGGAGCCCTCCCACCAGACAGGTGCTCCTCATACAGGTAGAAAACCACCTGGGTGGCCCTGCAGACCCTGTCCGGGTTGGCACATGGGGCAGGTGAGGGTGGGGGAGTGATATCAAGAGTTTGTTTTGTTTGTCCTGCATTAGTCATCCCTGTCTGAGAACAGTCCCTGGAACAGAAGAGCAAATCTCTTTGACCTCTGGCCCCTCCACTTCCTCCCCCACAACACAGCTACTGCCCCAAGCTGGGGGTCCTCTCTCTTCTGCATCTTATCTTTTGCAATACATACTACTATTATTTCCCCCTCTGCCCCCAATGAAATGGAAGCTCAGAGAGGGAAAATGACTTAAGCAATGACACTCAGCTAGTAGGCATCAGGCTAAGATCTGCACCCAGGGCTGAAGAACCCAAAGCATGTTCACTCAGTCCTCTTGCTTCACAGGGATTGTGGCCTTCAAATTCCTAGACTCTCGGGCTGGGAATTGGGGGTCCTGGATCCTCATTTCAACTCTTCCCAAGCAGAGTGACCTGAGCACTTAATGGCTCTGAGGGTCAGTTTCTACAACTACAAGATGAGGCAACACCTGACTACCATGTAGCACTCCATCTCCAACAGTCCCCTGATGTACAATTGCTAGAAACTATGAGCTCTCTGAGGATGGTGCCCAGGGAGCACATGGTAGTCTTTTACACTGTAAGTTTAGCTTCCACAGTCCAGAGAGGAAGCAGCAAACTACATGGGTATTAGGCATCATGGAGACTCAGAGGGAGAATTAAAAAACTTGCCCTGGAGAGGCAAATAACTGGAGAAGACAAGTCCGGCAGCCTCTAAAAGACAGACCAGTGTGAGGCCAGTTAAGTAGGGCTGAATTATGTTCTCGTACAGGAAAACGCTTTGCAGGGAGGCATAAGACTCCAGCTGGGGGTGAGGACGGATGCATCATGGGAGCCACCAGGGAGAAGGCAGTGAGCTGCCAATCCTCCACCAGTTTGCCAGGGTGATGGGATCCCACTGGGTTGAAGGGAAAACCCTGGATTTGCTCCAAGCAGTTGAGTGCTTAACCCTGTCTCCCACTACTCGCACAGTATATATGCCAGCCCCTTTTCCACAACTTGGTTACAAGTTCCCTAAATGCACATAAAATGAGTTTGCAGTCCACACACTACTGGGCACACAGGACAGTCTTAATAATTCACTCATGGTGATGGCACAACTATTAACGGTATCTTTCCTTCCAACAGTCCTCCTCTCCCTTCCTCACCCTAAGAGCCCTGGCAAGTCCTCCTGCATCTCAGTACTGCACAGGGCCCCACATTTGCCCCTCTTCCAGGAGCCTGCAGACCCCATTACAGAATCTTTCCCTCCACTTGGGGTAAAAAGCATCAGAACACAATGCCTAGGCCCTCTGGCTCTGAAACCACTTACTAGCTTCAGTTTTCTCACCTGTGATATGGGGACAATAACAGTAATACAATCACATCTGAGGACCTAGTTGGGAGGAAGGAATGCCTGTCAATCTCTGAGTCCAGAGAAGTGCCTGAAATGTGCGTTGTGATCAGCTTCCTCATCCCACTCTTCCTACCCATATCAATTAAAACTGGACCTGCACTCATATACAAGGCAACAGTTCTTAATGGTGAGGCCTGACCTCAGGGGCACTGGTTCCAGTATCATGGTTACAAAAATCCATCGATACCCAGGTCCCTTTTATAAAATGGCATAGTGTTGCACAGAACCCACACACCTCCTCCTACATGCTGTAGTTTAAATCATCTCTAGATTACTAATGATACCCAATACAATGTAAATGCCATGTAAACAGCTGTTATACTGTATTGTTTAGGGAAGAATGACAAGAAAAGTCATGATCATGACTTTATGATCAATACAGACACTAGTTTTTCCCCTGAATTATTTTCATTCATGATTAGTTTAATATGAAGATTCTTAACCTGTGGATACAGACCATGATTATGAAGAACCTGCAAATCCACACTGAACATTGACTTTTATTTAGTACCTACCAAGTATTTACATGTTTTCTCATTTCATCCCAACCACCATGTCAGTGAGCACTTCCATTCTTAGATATTTACACAGGCCTGGTAATGGTAAGGAACTTGGGCTAGTGTCAGGTACAGGATTTGAACTTGGGCCTGCTTCCCACGCTGCAGCTTTGCCTCCCTGACACAAGATGACTCTCCTCAGATGAGGCATGCTTTTTCAGGCTTTCTTTCCAACCCATTCCAGGAACAATGGCCCCTTTTCAATCCCTCCCCATATTGGTGGCATTTCTGGCATCCTGAGCCCGTCCCTGTTCCCATCCCCTGACCCCATCCACTCCTAGGTAAAGCTTCCAAAATGTTCTATGTCACTCAACAGCGAAATGGCCTCAGAGTGTCCAGGATGAAGGGCTCCTCCCTCTGAGGCACCCCCTGGTGTTGAACTCCCACATTGGGCTGGGCTGCTTCCCCTCTCTGGGGGTGCTCACCTGCATTTTCTCCAGCATCTCGAAGAACTCCGCAGACTGAAAGACACAAAGGGGGAGGGGAAAGAAACTGCATCAGCCAGGAAGTCAGCTGAGAAAGCCTCCTGCTCACGGTCTGGAAGTGGAGCCAGGGCCTTCCCCAGGGATGAAATTCATTTGGGTCAAGAGAGGAGATAATTTGATTTCGCCTTTGCAGAGCTGGTGGGCCAGAACACCCCACACAACAGAAGAGAAAATAAAACAGACCTGGGCTGGGAAGTGGCCCTGGGGAGGGCAGCCACTCAGTCTCCTTGGCAGGCAGGGGCATAGGGGCATAGGGACAAGCCCAAGGTTCCCCAATATACCTGTGGAGACTCAGCCTTCAGCAGGATTCATGTTTGGGATGTTTTCAACCCAGCAGTAGGGACAAGATGTCCAACACACGTAGTTTTCTGACATCTGGGGCAACATAGGCTTTCTGTCTCCTCCTATAAAACTTCACTTACTATAGGACAGAGCAAGCAAAAATGCACTGAGCCACTCTATCCAGGGCAGCCAAGGGGGCTTGAGCTCCAGGCCCTGCCCCAAGCACCTGGATGGATTTTATTTGAAATCCGAAACTACATCTGTCCACACCTTTAACCTACTTTGGTGCCTCCATTGTAAACTCCAGACAGAGAGAAAAAGGAAGTAGAATGGACAGCTGAGGAACAGGCAGCTCTGCCTGAACAAAGGACAGGCAAAGGTCCCTCGAAGATTTCACTTTCCACTGCATGAATACAGGCCCACTTTCTTATACTAACATCATTGTGCACCTCTGGGCATTGGCAAGCATTATGTCAATGAATGCCCAGAACAAAATGAAGAAAAAAGAACGGTGTGATGAGGAGGAATGCATTTGCCCTTGTCACTTCTTCATCCAGAGGCAGAGCCTCCCAACACTCCCTTTTTCTGCCCACACCAATACCACCTGGGGCCCCACCACCCTGAATTCTTCCTAAGGGAACCACCTTGGGAAGAATTCTTAAGGGTTCACCTGGTGAGACTCATTCCTGCTGCAGATTCCAAACAACCTCTCTCAAGCCAAAGCAAGCCTATTAGAGTCAGAAAGTCTGTGACCCACCTGCAATTCAGGAAGTAGGGCTTGGAAACCCGACATATGAATGTACAGGAGTAGACCTAGGCCACTTAACACGCTTGACCAGGAGCAGGCTTGGGGGACCAATATCACCGGCCAGGAGTAGGCTTGAGGCACCAACATCCTTGACCAGAAGCAGCCACCAAACCACTAGATCGCTTCCCACTTACTTGCTCTAAATACAAATGCACCAGCCACACTGTGTATTCTTACCAACTCCAGGATTCAGCCATAAAGGGCTTATACAAATCAGTAAAGATAGAAAGAGGACAAGGAGATGAAACAATCAACATTACATATACACAGACCAGGGCTGGGGATTTAGCTCAGTGGTTCCACCATCTGCCTCGAAAGTACAAGGACCCGAGTTTGATCCCTGGTATGAAAAAAAAAAAAAAAACAAACAAATACACAGACCTCTGACCCAGCAATGACCCTTGCAGCAATCTGTACTCTAACACACTTACATATGTACATGATACAATTAAAATATTTA